CCTGACCATGCTGAAACAAGCCATATCCGCAACATGTACAATGACAGTGTTGTGTCCCACTTCAGGAAAATCTTGCAGAAACGCCAGAAAAAGACCTTTCTGGACAGATATTTTGTGCGACAGGGGTCCAGTGATTCAAGTTGTTCCCAGTGGCATTAAAAGAAGGGAAGTAACCCCAGATAAGGACTTGCTACCTAAAGTCCTAATGGAAGGAGATTCTCCTTCCAAACAATAGTGTACACCTTCCACATATCCCCTCCTCCCATCTTCCATCCAACCAGAAGTCTTCAGTAAAGGCAAGTGTAATGTTATCATTTTTTAAATGTATGTACTTGATTTGTCATTGATTTCACTATGTAAATCTTTATTTAATTTAAAAAAAAATATTTTATTATTATTAACACACTGGCCGATTCCCACCAAGGCAGGGTGGCCTGAAAAAGAAAAACTTTCACCATCATTCACTCCATCATTGTCTTGCCAGAAGGGTGCTTTACACAACAGTTTTTAAACTGCAACATTAACACCCCTCCTTCAGAGTGCAGGCACTGTACTTCCCATCTCCAGGACTCAAGTCCGGCCTGCCAGTTTCCCTGAATCCCTTCATAAATGTTACTTTGCTCACACTCCAACAGCACGTCAAGTATTAAAAACCATTTGTCTCCATTCACTCCTATCAAACACGCTCACGCATGCATGCTGGAAGTCCAAGCCCCTCACACACAAAGCCTCCTTTACCCCCTCCCTCCAACCTTTCCTAGGCCAACCCCTACCCCACCTTCCTTCCACTACAGACTGATACACTCTTGAAGTCATTCTGTTTCGCTCCATTCTCTCTACATGTCCAAACCACTTCAACAACCCTTCCTCAGCCCTCTGGACAACAGTTTTGGTAATCCCGCACCTCCTCCTAACTTCCAAACTACGAATTCTCTGCAGTATATTCACACCACACATTGCCCTCAGATATGACATCTCCACTGCCTCCAGCCTTCTCCTCGCTGCAACATTCATCACCCATGCTTCACACCCATAAAAGAGTGTTGGTAAAACTATACTCTCATACATTCCCCTCTTTGCCTCCAAGGACAAAGTTCTTTGTCTCCACAGACTCCTAAGTGCACCGCTCACCCTTTTCCCCTCATCAATTCTATTATTCACCTCATCTTTCATAGACCCATTTGCTGACACATCCACTCCCAAATATCTGAATACATTCACCTCCTTCATACTCACTCCCTCTAATCTGATATCCAATCTTTCATCACCTAATCTTTTTCTTATCCTCATAACCTTACTCTTTTCTGTATTCACTTTTAATTTTCTTCTTTTGCATACCCTACCAAATTCATCCACCAACCTCTGCAACTTCTCTTCAGAATCTCCCAAGAGCACAGTGTCATCAGCAAAGAGCAACTGTGACAACTCCCACTTTACGTGTGATTCTTATCTTTTAACTCCATGCCTCTTGCCAAGACTCTCGCATTTACTTCTCTTACAACCCCATCTATAAATATATTAAACAACCACGGTGACATCACACATCCTTGTCTAAGGCCTACTTTTACTGGGAAATAATCTCCCTCTTTCCTACATACTCTAACTTGAGCCTCACTATCCTCGTAAAAACTCTTCACTGCTTTCAGTAACCTACCTCCTACACCATACACCTGCAACATCTGCCACATTGCCCCCCTATCCACCCTGTCATACGCCTCTTCCAAATCCATAAATGCCACAAAAACCTCTTTAGCCTTATCTAAATACAGTTCACTTATATGTTTCACTGTAAACACCTGGTCCACACACCCCCTACCTTTCCTAAAGCCTCCTTGTTCATCTGCTATCCTATTCTCCATCTTACTCTTAATTCTTTCAATAATAACTCTACCATACACTTTACCAGGTATACTCAACAGACTTATCCCCCTATAATTTTTGCACTCTCTTTTGTCCCCTTTGCCTTTATACAAAGGAACTATGCATGCTCTCTGCCAATCCCTAGGTACCTTACCCTCTTCTATACATTTATTAAATAACAGCACCAACCACTCCAAAACTATATCCTCACCTGCTTTTAACATTTCTATCTTTATCCCATCAATCCCAGCTGCCTTACCCCCTTTCATTTTACCTACTGCCTCACGAACTTCCCCCACACTCACAACTGGCTCTTCCTCACTCCTACAAGACGTTATTCCTCCTTGCCCTATACACAAAATCATAGCTTCCCTATCTTCATCAACATTTAACAATTCCTCAAAATATTCCTTCCATCTTCCCAATACCTCTAACTCTCCATTTAATAACTCTCCTCTCCTATTTTTAACTGACAAATCCATTTGTTCTCTAGGCTTCCTTAACTTATTAATCTCACTCTAAAACTTTTTCTTATTTTCAACAAAATTTGTTGATAACATCTCACCCACTCTCTCATTTGCTCTCTTTTTACATTGCTTCACCACTCTCTTAACCTCTCTCTTTTTCTCCATATACTCTTCCCTCCTTGCATCACTTCTTTGTAAAAACTTCTCATATGCTAACTTTTTCTCCCTTACTACTCTCTTTACATCATCATTCCACCAATTGCTCCTCTTCCCTCCCACACCCACTTTCCTGTAACCACAAACTTCTGCTGAACACTCTAACACTACATTTTTAAACCTACCCCATACCTCTTTGACCCCATTGCCTATGCTCTCATTAGCCCATCTATCCTCCAATAGCTGTTTATATCTTACCCTAACTGCCTCCTCTTTTAGTTTATAAACCTACACCTCTCTCTTCCCTGATGCTTCTATTCTCCTTGTATCCCATCTACCTTTTACTCTCAGTGTAGCTACAACTAAGAAGTGATCTGATATATCTGTGGCCCCTCTATAAACATGTACATTCTGAAGTCTACTCAACAGTCTTTTATCTACCAATACATAATCCAACAAACTACTGTCATTTCGCCCTACATCATATCTTGTATACTTATTTATCCTCTTTTCCTTAAAATATGTATTACCTATAACTAAGCCCCTTTCCATACAAAGTTCAATCAAAGAGCTCCCATTATCATTTACACCTGGCACTCCAAACTTACCTACCACACCCTATTTTATTTTAATATTTTTGGGTGTCTGGCACGGATTAATTTTACTTCCATTATTTCTTATGGGGAAAATGGTTTCAAGTTTCATGATTTTCAACTTTCGGCAGGCTCTCTGGAACGGATTAATCACGAAACTCAGGGGTCCACTGTATGGCCCCTTTACAATTTTTAAACTTTGAACATGGCCTGCATGAATGATAGAGTTGGTGACCTCTGCTCTGCAGTGTGAAATTTTATCCAGAACTGACTCAGTTGGTGTTGCATTATATGAAGTGGAATACAGTGGAACCTCTACTTGCGAGTTTAATCCATTCCATGACCTTGCTTGCAACTGGATTTGCTCATTTGCAGAGTCAATTTTCCTCATTCAAATTAACTGAAATGCAATTAATCCATTCCAGTGGAATTCTGTACTTCAATAATTTCGCTAATATCAACTCTACGGCTTATTTATCTAACGCAGTTCATCTAAAGTGACATAAATAATATAAATAACATAGAAACCTGATATATACTCTAGAATGAATAAAATATATTATATATGTGGCAGCGGTGGTGGCCGACGAGAGTTTGTCTGGAGACAGGACAAAATACTCCTTGAATATTTCGTTTTCATCAACTCTACGGCTTATTTATCTATCACAGTTCATCTAATATGAAATAATAAACAATATAAATAACATAGAAACACGATATATACTCCAGAGTGCATAAAATATGTCAATATGTAACAGGTGGAGACGACCACAACCGCTCCCAATCTAGTGATCTAGTTGTCTATTACTATAATTATGTAGTACATTATTATTATATATGCATTATTATTATACGTATTATATTATTATTATTATTATTATTATTGTATTATACTTATTATACATCTTCTTTCAACACATTGGCCGTATCCCACCAAGGTGGGGTGGGCCAAAAGGAAAAACGAAAGTTTCTCCTTTTACATTTAGTAATATATACAGGGAAAGGGGTTACTAGCCCCTTGCTCCCGGCATTTTAGTTGCCTCTTACAACACGCATGGCTTACGAAGGAAGAATTCTGTTCCACTTCCCCATGGAGATAAGAGGAAATAAACAAGAACAAGAACTAGAAAGAAAATAGAAGAAAACCCAAAGGGGTGTGTGTATATATATGCTTGTACATGTATGTGTAGTGTGACCTGAGTGTAAGTAGAAGTAGCAAGACGTACCTGAAATCTTGCATGTGTATGAGACAGAAAAAAAAAGACATCAGCAATCCTACCATTGTGTAAAACAATTACAGGCTTCAGTTTTACACTCACCTGGCAGGACGGTAGTACCTCCCTGGGCGGCTGCTGTCTACCAACCTACTACCTAGGATCTGATTACTATCATCATCATTATTATTACGTTAAAAAGTATCTTTCCATCATACATTGCCCAAGTTTCAATAAGATAGTCCAACAAACAAATGAGATACAGTACCCTAGATCAAGAGCAAGAGCCCCTCACCAACGTCAAGAAACCTGCCTTGAGGTCTGCTCGCTTATGGAAATTTTGCTTGCGTATGGAAGCAAAAAATTGACCCATTGATTGCTCGTATTTGGGAAAACTCGCATGTGGATGCGTTCACAAGTAGAGGTTCCACTGTACTGTAAATAAAATACTGTATACAGATCACAGATTATCTAGTACCCCTCGGAAAGATGATGTTCTGTACTGTCAACAACATTAGATGATTACAGTATTCTAAATATGGGCTCTTTCTTTTTGCCCATTATCTGTTGAAGTACATGACCGAGCAAGACCACTGTGTCTTGTTAGAAGTAAAATAACTGACAGCTGGATACCTGAACTACTGTACTATTAATTCTTTCCTAGTCTAACTGTACATCCAGTTAATTAAGACTACAAACATAATATTGACCTTTTCTTCCAGTTCCATACCAAGCTCCCAGCACCACCAAGTCAGCAGAGTCAGCCATTGCTCCATCATTCAAGTAATCCTTCTTGATTTTTAGCCAATGGCGCTTTCCAGGTTCATAAATGCTCTGTGGAAAAATAATTACTTAAATGATTCCTTAACTATAAAGTTTGAAATTAAAATAATTTGAAAATAAAGTACAGCATACAATGGTGGTAAAGACAACAATTCTAGTGTATCTGCCTCTGGTAATTTGACTCTGGGTATCCTATTTTCACTCCACTAATATCTCTCCATTTATTCTCACATACATTTCACTTCTCTCAGTAATTTAGTAATGCTCTGAGAACAATTCATTCCTGTGTGAAGATAAAGAATGGGTACTCAGTCACTCCATATTTACTCCACATCTTTGGGCAGTAAGTCACTAAATACTGTAAAGAGTTTTAATGAGGATAGTGAGGCTCAAGTTAGGGTAATGTAGTAAGGAGGGAGAATACTTCCCAGTAAAATTATGCTTGAAACAGGGATGTGTAATGTAATCATGGTTGTTTAACATATTTATAGACGAGGTTGTAAAAAAAGCAAATGCTAGGCTGTTTGGGAGAGGGGTGGGATTAAATTATGGGGAATCAAATACAAAATGGGAGTTGACACAGTTACTTTTTGCTAATGATACTGTGCTTCTGTAAGATTCTAAAGAAAAGTTGCAAAGGTTAGTGGACGAGTTTGTGAGGGTGTGTAAAGGTAGAAACTTAAAAGTGAACATAGATAAGAGTAAGGTGATGAGGGTATCAAACAATTTAGATAAAGAAAAATTGGGTATCACATTGGATGGAGGGAATATGGAAGAAATGAATGTTTTCAGATATTTGGGAGTTGACTTGTCAGAGGATGGGTTTATGAAGGAAAAAAAAGGCGAGTACTGCATTGAAGTATCTGTGGAGACAAAAGAATGTTATCTATGGAGGCAAAGAAGGGAATGCATGAGAATACTGCATAGTGGTACCAACACTCTTATATGGGTGTGAAGCATGGACTGCAAATGCTGCAGCAAGGAGGAGGCTGAAGGCAGTGGAGATGTCATGTCTAAGGGCAATGTGTGGTGTACATATTGTGCAGAAAATTCGTAGTGTGGAAATTAGGTGGTGGTGCGGAGTTATCAAAAGTATTAGTCAGAGGGCTGAAGAGGGTTGTTGAGGGGGTTTGGTAATTTAAAGAGAATGGAACAAATTAGAATGACTTGGAGAGCATATAAATCTGTAGGGGAAGGAAGGTGTGGTAGGGGTTGCCATCAAAAAGGTTGGAGGGAGGGGGTAAAGGAAGTTTTGTGGGTGAGGAGATTGGGCTTTCAGCAAGAGAGCGTGAGCATGTTAGATAGGAGTGAATGGAGACAAATGTCTTTAGGGACCTGATGAGCTGTTGGAGTGTGAGCAGGGTAATATTCTGTGAAGGGATTCAGGAAAACCAGTTAGCCAGACTTGAGTCCTGGAAATAAGAAGTACAATGCCTGCACATATACGTACGTACATATACGGGACCGACCCTGAAAGGGTTGGTCCCATATATGTATGGCTTGAGAGCCAGTGTCAGTCCTATATTTATACGCTAAAATTCTAGCGCCTTCAAATCTGGTGGAAGAAAGCTGGTAGGCCTACATATTAAAGAATGGGTGTGTGTGGTCAGTGTGCACTGTATAAAAAATATCCTGCAGCACACAGTGCATGTGAAAAAAAACTCCAACTATATTTTTGGTTTAAAACAGCGACTTTGCAACAACTTTACAGAAACAGAGATGATTTTGATTGGTTTCGCGGTGAAAAGTACCTTGAAAATGAGCTCAAAGTAGCGGAAATGTTCGATTTTTGCCATTGTTCAAGAGTAAACAAATCACGCCACCCGTTCAATATACATCAACTGGTAAGTCTAATGTTCCTTCATGATTGTGCTGATATTATTTACACCATTTTTACAATAATGCAGCATTCTGCATAACAGTAAATCTTCTATTTTTTTGTGAGAATAAGAATTCAAAATGGAAAGCAAGTGTAATATAAGAGGGACCTGGAGACATAACTAATGAACAGAGAAAATGTTCTTTTAGTACCATGAATGTCTGTCTTGTTTATTCTGGACGCTATTTTGAAATTGGCATCTTTTGAAATTTGTGTGAAATTGGCCAAACTGCCAATTTCTGACCACTTTATTTAGTTGAAATCAGCAAATGGGCAGTTTCTTGTAATCAATCGATAGAACAAATGGAGTTCTAGTGAAATAGCTATGATTTTAGTTGACTGGAACAATGGAATTGGCCAAAAATAAGGCTCAAAGTGGGCAAAATTGCCAATGCATAAATATCGCCGATATCACTAACTTCGTGAGAGTGTAATTTCGTAAGTTTTCCATCAAATGTCATACTTTTGGTGTCATTACCATTGGGAAAAGATTCTCTATCATTTCAAAATATCTTTTTTTTTTTTTTTTGAAAATTTTTCGACCCTGAGAATTAAGGATCGGGGGTCTTGACCCTGAAAGGGTTAAAGGAGGGATTTGGGACATTGGCAGTTCGGAGGGACATCTAAACTGTCATATCTGAGCACCTCTGCAAAGTCAGTGATTATGTATGAGTGATGGTAAACATGTTGAATGATGAAAGTTTTTTTCTTTCTTTTTGGGTCATCTTGCCTTGGTGGAAAATGGCTGACATGTTAAAAAAAAAAGTAATGACTGTAGTGTATATGCATTTTATTGCCCTAGGGCACTTTATATGCATATTATGTGTGGGTGGGGTGGCCATACCTACCACACCTGACTACCATACCTACCACACCTGACCTCTTACAATAAATACTACTCACCCTATATTAAGACTACAAATATTTTAAGTTAAGTAATGAGTGTACTGTGTGTGTATTTTACTTTTTATTGTTTTACTATTGCTAACTTAATATATGTTAGTGTAAACTTTTTATCTGGCATTCATATAATTTATTGTAAGTGGAAAAAATCATGTTCTGCTTTCCGGCGATGTCTACTTTCTGGCGGTAACCTGGAACTCAACCTGCTGTATAAGTGGGGCCCTACTGTATTTTGTGCTACTGTCCCACATTAACATTGCTACAGGTCAGCCACCACTAATCCAGCATCATTGTGACCTGTAATGTGCTGGATTAGTGAGTTTGCCGGATTACAGAGTGGTTAGGTTAGAATACACTTAATTAACCAATCAATAGAGACTCTTTCTGATACATCTTCCTCATTTTCATCATTGCTTTCTCCTCCACTGGCTTGCTGCTTTGGATTTACAACCATCTACACAATTTCTGAGTCAGTATAATGACGAAATTTGAGTCAGTATAATGATTTGAGTCAGTATGATGATGAAATCTGAAATTATGCTACCCAAAATTAGTGCCAGATTACTGATGGAATCGGATAACTTATTGCCGGATTAGTGATGGACAACCTGTATTATAGAGAAAGTTTTGTTACTTTGAGCAATCACTGTATTAATAATCATTCTACTCATGCACTTCTAGTCTCAGCTATACCCAACACCCTAAATTAAACTGTCAATACTGTTTTGCTGTTATAAATAGACAATTTTTTTTGTCACTTACAGCAATCATAGTATTAATACCCTTATCCTCAGACATTATGTTAATTTTAGCATTCACTTATTCAACCCTGAGTTCATCAATGATATATACCTAAATTAGTTCCAATTTATTTGCCTGAAATGCATTACATAAGTGCGGGATCTTATATGCAAGGTATCCCAATTGTAAGACAATATCTGTCAACCTATGTATCATCAGGGTAAACAAAACTGTATTTTATTTACTTTAGAAATGCAGGAATAGAGGAGCATTTCATTAGGTCTACTGGCCCATGTTACTTGCACTTACAGTAATCTTAGCTAATTTGCTTCAATGCCACTACTATGAAATTCAAACTAACACAGTAACAAAAACTGTAATTTTTTAAACACGATAACCAAACCAACTTGCACAAAGCCCCAAAAAAATATTTTAGATAAATTTTAATGGCCCTTGGTGTGTGAAAAAAAAAAATGTGACTCAATAAAACCATAACAATATTCCACATGTTCCACACTGAATGAGAGGACATACTGTACATGACAAATGAGGCCACATTTCTCACCTTTTTCTTTCTTAGACAATCAAGTGGACTACACTTGTGTGTTAATTCATTCTATAAGACTCCTGTGTAACTCTCTACACAGTTCACTATTACTTTAGTGAGCACCGTGATATGCTTTTATCAGATACTCTTCCAACTGGTTCACTTCATTCAGACATAACAATAAAGTAGTTAATCTTGTTTGTAAATTACTGTTTTTCCATGGTTCATCTACTGACCAAAGTAGAACAATAATAAATCAAATATGATGATGCCATTATTCTACACAAATGAAGTACAGGAGGCCCTGCTTATACGGCAGGTTAGGTTCCGGGCTACTGCTGTAAAGCAAAAATCACTATAAAAAGAAACATAGCCTTTTTTCCACTTTCAAATGCATATAAAAGCCTGATAACATGTTTACACTATATCATATACAGTGGCCCCTCCCTTTTCGTTGGGCTCTGTTTTCGCTCACTTCTGTTATGGTCAATTTCTTCCGTAAAATTATTGGCTCCGTTTTTCTTGCTTTCCTCCATTCTCGTTGGTGGTATGGTAAAAATATTGACCCCATTTCCGTTGCTTTCCTCCATTCTCTTCGGTGGTATGGTACATGTCTGAGGGTGCTGCCCACACAACCTCCCACACATGCATTCTGAGGAGGCAGTCTCACTTTTTTTCTCTGGGAGTGAACATTATCCTCAGAGGCCATAGGAAACATTTCGTAATAATTCATTGTTTTTTGCACTTGTTCATTCTGTGTGACTGCTAGATAAGCCACCATGGGCCCAAAGAAAGCTGCTAGTCCACCACCCTAAACCAATGCCAGCATCTCCAAGGTACAGTAAGTGTAAATATTTCTTATTTATAAAGTGTAAATATTTCTTATTTATAAATTAAGTACACTGTTTGTGTGAATAGTATTGGTGGCCTTTGCTGTGGCATCCACTACCACTAATATGTACAGCTTCTCTCAGTGGCCCTTATAAATCCAACACCGCCACCACCACCACCACCACCACCACCACTTACTCCTCATATACATGAGATATTTTATTCATTCTAGAGTATATATCATGTTTCTATGTTATTAATATTGTTTATTATGACATATTAAATGAATTGCGATAGATAAATAAGCTGTGGAATAGAGTTCTTCTTTATAAAATGTATTTTTTGTTTATACCTTTGGATGTCTGAAATGGATTAATTGGATTTACATTATTTCTTATGGGAAAAATGGTTTCAGTTTTAGTCAATTTCACATTTCGTCAGACTCTCTGGAATGAATTAAAAACGAAATGGGAGGGTCCACTGTATTAAGTACACAAACTATAATACAGTAGGGCCCAGCCTTACGGCATTCTGCTATATTGCAATTTCAAATTATGGCCAAAACTCACTATATGGCTCCCCGTCTTTCTAATATAGCACACCCTGCCCAGTTTGTTTACATTCTCCATGAGCACATCTCTATTATGTCTGGAAACTTGCCAAAATTTCAAGTGTTTTAAAGTTATTCCATATTTTACATGTATTACTCTTATAATTATACTTATGTGTACCTGTACCTAAATATACTTATGCACTGTGGTGGCATGCAGGTACACATTAAAATCACTAAGAGCATCTCTATAGTCTTAAAGCCATAATAATAATACTAATACGTAATAATAATCACTATTGGGCACATTAACCCTTTCAGGGTCCAGAGGCCAACTAAATAATGGTTCGATATATCAGTTGCCCCTCTACAAACATGTACATCCTGGAGCCTACCCATCAACCTTTTATCCACCAATATATAATCTAACAAACTACTTTCATTACGTGCTACATCATACCTTGTATATTTATTTATCCTCTTTTTCATAAAATATGTATTACTTAATACCAAATCTCTTTCGACACATAGCTCAATTAAAGGCTCCCCATTTACATTTACCCCTGGCACCCCAAATTTACCTACTACTCCCTCCATAACATTTTTACCCACTTAAGCATTGAAATCCCCAACCACAAGTACTCTCACACTTGATTCAAAACTCCCCATGCATTCACTCAACATTTCCCAAAATCTCTCTCTCTTGTATACACTTCTCTCTTCTCCAGGTGCATATATGCTTACTATAACCCACTTTTCACATCCAACCTTTATTTCACTCCACATAATCCTTGAATTAATACATTTATAGTCCCTCTTTTCCTGCCATAGCTTATCCTTCAACATTACTGCTACTCCTTCTTTAGCTCTAACTCTATTTGAAACCCCTGACCTAATCCCATTTATTTCTCTCCACTGAAACTCTCCCACCCCCTTCAGCTTTGTTTCACTTAAAGCCAGGACATCCAGCTTCTTCTCATTCATAACATCCTCAATCTTCTCTTTCTTATCATTTGCACAACATCCACGCACATTCAGACTTCCCACTTTGACAATTTTCTTCTTATTCTTTTTAGTAATCTTTACAGGAAAAGGGGTTACTAGCCCATTGTTCCCGGCATTTTAGTTGACTTTTACAACACACATGGCTTACGGAGGAAAGATTCTTATTCCACTTCCCCATGGATATAAAAGGAAAAGTAATAAGACCAAGAACTATTAAGATAAAATCTAAGAAAACTCGGATGAGTGTGTATAAATAAACGTGTACATGTATGTGTAGTGTGACCTAAGTGTAAGTAGAAGTAGCAAGACATACCTGTAATCTTGTATATTTATGAGACAGACAAAAGACACCAGCAATCCTACCATCATGTAAAACAATTACAGGCTTTCGTTTTACACTCACTTGGCAGGACGGTAGTACCTCCCTGGGTGGTTGCTGTCTACCAACCTACTACCTTAATTATAATTATAATTATAATTTTTTTTTTTTTTAACAAACCGGCCGTATCCTACCGAGGCAGGGTAGCCCAAAAAGAAAAACAAAAGTTTCTCTTTTCAAATTTAGTAACTTATACAGGAGAAGGGGTTACTAGCTCCTTGCTCCAGGCATTTTAGTCGCCTCTTACAACTCGCATGGCTTACGGAGGAAGAATTCTGTTCCACTTCCCCATGGAGATAAGAGGAAATAAACAAGAATAAGAACTAGAAAGAGAATAGAAGAAAACCCAGAGGGGTGTGTATATATATGCTTGTACATGTATGTGTAGTGTGACCTAAGTGTAAGTAGAAGTAGCAAGACATACCTGTAATCTTGCATATTTATGAGACAGACAAAAGACACCAGCAATCCTACCATCATGTAAAACAATTACAGGCTTTCGTTTTACACTCACTTGGCAGGACGGTAGAACCTCCCTGGGTGGTTGCTGTCTACCAACCTACTACCTTAATTATAATTATAATTATAATTATATATTAGGTTAGGATGTGTTATGTTACCTGTGGTAAACCCTTTCAAGCTCTTTTTTTTTTATCCCCTGGTGTGGGGTTTTTTTTTTAGTGAGGGGATGTGGGCTACTGTCCACCCGTGTCTTGGACCTACGTTAGCCCAACTGTCTGCTGTCTCACTCTGAGTTTAGGGTTTGGCTTTTTGTCACAAAAAAGCTGAGCTCTATCTAAGAGTTGGATGGCTGAGAGAAAGGCGGTCCCATTATTTGGTGCCATGGTAGCACGGTTACCACTGGGAGGTGGGAGCCTAATCCTGAGCCCTCTCGGGGTGGGGGTGTGGCATGCAAAGAGTACGTAACCTTTATTCGGCTCAAGTACACACCCTCATTTACAGGGTATCTCCCCCAACCAGCAAACCAGGGGCTAAGGGTTGACGATGGGGCCCCGTCGTTCAATCAGTATCCAGGTTCCAGCGAATGAGAAGATGGTTTTGGCAATCGCTGAGGTGATGTGCGTACCACTCACCCGTCTGCCCTTGTCATTCCCATTCTAGAGCTGGTTGAAGCACGGTCTGCTCTCTAGTGGCTTCTATTCTGCCTTGCTTACCGTGGTGTGCACTAATACCTATTGTTGTACATAGTGTATATAGTGTACATGCTTCTGTTCTAAATTGGTGAAGGATAATATAAGTCAAAAGTTTTTCTGCTGTGTTTATTTTGCTCCCTTTACACCCAGGATAACAGGCCTTTGGGACTCCTGGGTTGTAATAAGTTGCTTATATCTCACCCGAACTTCCTCCTCCCTTAGTTTATACACTTTCACTTCCCTCTTACTTGTTGTTGCCATTTTCCTCTTTTCCCATCTACCTCTTACTCCAACTGTAGCTACAACGCTGTTATCCTAGGTAAATGGTCGTGTGTCATCATTCCTTCCTTCCTACCTTCCTGCATTCCCTTGCTATCTTTGTTCCTTCATCTTTCCTTCCTTCCTTCCTTACTTTTTTCCTTCCTTCCTTTCATCTCATCCTTCCTTCCTTCTGGTTTCTATAATATATATACACATATATAGTCACTGGATACTTTCATATAACTGCTGTTATCTTCATTCAGCAAGCTTGTGTTTTGTGTGAGTGTGTGGCTCTAATTGTTCCGAGTCAGGGTCAGAAACTGTCAAAATGACACATTGTCTCATTACTCACTCCCCCTACCACCTGTCAAAACAATGGGGTCAGATGCTCACTTCCCCTCCATCCTGTCTAATTATCTTTCTCCCTCATTCTCTTTCTCCTTCATTCTTCTGGTATCCTGGACATTGCTTTTGGTCACAAACTCCTCAAAACCATGAAATTCAAGATCAATTTCATGGTCTTGAGCATCACTTGGGAAGAGCAGAGTCCCAGATTTGCCGAGGAGTCACATATTTCTTACCGTTAAGCATGATGAACAAGGACTACTGACATGGCATTCCCACAATGCACCATTGGCTCCCCAATTTTTTTTATATGGTGAACACTGACCATGCAGACCCATTCTCTCACATGTGGGCCTACCAGCGTTCTCCTGCTTGATTTGAAGCCGCTAGAATTTATGCGTATTAATACGTCAAACACGGAGGCTAGTAAGACGTATATATACAACCAAAACAGTCAAAGCGTTAATGCCTACTTCTATTACTAACTTTGTATAAGTTAGTCCAAACTTGCTGACTGGCATTTATATGCATTTATAAGTTGAAAAAATGGAGTGCTGTGTTCTGGCGATGTCTGCTTTCCAGCAGTAGCCTGGAACCTAACCTGCCATACAAGTGGGGCTGTACTGTACGTATATTTAAATCAAATTAAAATAAAAATTCAAATTTAAAACTCATTATTACACAATAATACTTAAGAAAGTTTTTACACTTAGCAGCAGCCTACTTACATTAATATCTTTGAGAACTAAGCCTTCAAGACCTTCCTGGAGGACAAATTTAATCATTTCCCGCAAATCCTCCTTTTTATTTATTAGCTTCATCTCGGAAAACATAATATGGTTTTTAATCTCAGTCATGTTCTCTTCCAGGATTTCACGACGTTCTGACAATGGCCTAGAAAAGAAATAATTGAACAAGATTGTACATACAGTATAAATATGATAAATATTTAAATACACATTTATTATTGTAACTTTCATAGGTTTAGCAATTACTACACAGTATTGAATAACATAGCAATGCACTAAAAGAAAAAGTGAGTGCCAAACCCATAGGGGCCATACAGCACCTGAGAGAATGGTAGGCAATCAGGTTCAATCCAAGGAAAGAGAGAATAGGTCCAATTCCTTGGAACAAGAGCCCCTCATCAGCATCAAGGCACCTCTCTCAAGGGGCTATTATTACAGGTGCCCCTCACTTTATGCGATAATGTGTTCCAGGTGATGGAGCATTAAGCAAATTTGCATACAGCAAACCCATTATAACATGTAAAAGACAGGGACTCATTCTGAGCTTTTGCAAAATCTACATTTCTTGATTAATGTTTATCAAAAAATATGAACTTACCACACATGTACCAAGTGATCATATTTAAAAACTGAAATTTATCTGGTCACAGTACAACCGAGAAAACAAATAAGTCCAAAGCTTAATCACAATCTTTTACAACACAAAATCTGGAAAACTTCTATATTTATTTATTTTTACCCAAAAAATTATGAGCATTCAAGACCAACATCAAATGGCCATTTACCAAAAATAAATGCAAGTGGTTAAAAAGCTGCAAAAGCATAAAATATCAATTACAGTTCTCCTCCCTTTTACCCTCCTTTCTCCCTCCAACCAGCCTGCCTTCATTTGGGCTGAAGAGTGCATGTTAGGAATTGTCAATTCATATCTCCCAACTACATTTTCCACCCTCCCTCCACCCCTAGTCCTGAGTGTCTCGACACAGCTCAACTTCTTCTGGTCAGGTGTCCATCTGCTTTAGGCTTGACACAAGACATTAAAACTGGAGACAAACCATAGGATTTTGCTCATAACAGGCTCATTAAGTCTTTCTTAAGTAAATATAAGCCAGTTTAGAGTGATACTAATAAAAACAAAGTGAGGTTGAGTTTGGGTGACTGCATATGAGTGAAAAGAACAATGACTGTTTGCTCCAGTTGCATAAAAGCAAATTTTTACTTCATACAGCAAATTCCTGGTAGAAATAGGGTCACACCACACATAAGTGAATTCACATAATGCAAATATGCATAAAGAGAAGGCAACCTGTATTTTCATACCTATAATAGTATTAAGTGGTTGTTAAGACTTGCTTTTTGTCTTCCCAAAATACTTTGCATAACAAAGTATGTAAAGTGCTCTAGGGCGCTTTAAATGCTGTAGTACAGGGTGAGGAACAGAGTACAGAGGCTTATAAAAGGAGCAAAGGCAAAGCACTATTGCTCAAAAATTGAAGAGTTAAAAAGCAAAAACCCCAGAAAGCCTGGCAAAAAACTAAAACGTTGGGGTTACCCAAAAGCCAGTAGATGGTCTACAAGTACTCACTATCGTAATGAGGTATGCCACGAAAAAAATCAAGGTGGCAAATTGCTTTAATCTACTAACATCTGTTGCTCAAACACTAGTAAGAAAAACTACCGCTTTTTTCAAATACTTTAAACAGACTCTGATAATTTTTTCAAACTTACTATACAATAAAGGGGTAACCCCAAAAAACAGTTGTTCAACAGTAAGTGTTTTCATGACTTATTCAAAAGGAACTAAGCAGGTTAAAACCAATAAGAGCACAGGCCCTGATAACATCCGTCTATGTTCCTAAGATGGTGCTTTCTGAACTGTCAATACTATGTGCTCACATAATAAATCTATTCAATCACGCTCTAATCGTACCGGAAGGGGTTCAAGGAGGCAGGTTACTCCTTCTTCAAGAAAATAAGGTCTATTGTAAGCAAATAAAAGACAGTTAGTATACTAAGTATAAAACTAAAATTTGGGTAGCAGGCGTGAATATTCTCAAGTAGTTTTGTACTGCTAAAATGTCAACAGCATTCTCCTGTACAATCGGGCTTTAGTAAGTATCCTACTCAACATACCTCTTAAAATCTGATGGATTTTCAGAACTATAATGTAAAGGGGAAGCTCTGTTGGTAACTTAGACCTGCAAAAGGCTTTGAAAACAGTAAACCCATCTAGGAGACAAGCTTAACTATCGGTATAGGTTTGTAACGGGTTTAAGTACATACCTTAGCAACAGGAGACAAATAGTCAAAATCAACAAAACGGAATCAGAACCCTGCCGATAAACATGTGGGTTCCTCAAGGTAGTATCTAGTACCTTATATTTTGATGTTATGACAATGAATGCTATCAAGTGTTCAATGCAATCCACTGTATCAATGACAGTAGTCTTAGTGCATAAATACCCACAAGATATTGAAATTTTAACACTGGAACTGATTCGCAAAAGGAGAGACAAAATATCATTTAACTAGGAAAAACCTTGATGCATCTCTTGGAAAACGAAACATAACTGAGAAGGGTAAATAATTTTAATGTTCAGTTAAGGGGAGTACACTTTGGTTTCATCAGTAAATATCTCGGAATCCCCTTTGACCTTTACATGTCAGGAGAATTATAGAAACAGTGTAGTCAAGAAAGCGAATCCAGACTGTTCGTATAACAAGAAATTTTTACTACTGAGGTCGCAGGATATGTCTAGTTAATACAATGCCATAGGATTTCGCTGCTCTTCATGGTACTCTGCCTTGAAAAATTAACTGAAAGATAGACATGCAAACAACCCAAAATCAAAATCGTTCATATTCATCTAGGGAACTGGGACCATCGGAGATACATGTAGGCATGGTATGAATTAACTGTAGTGAATGTTGAAGACAGAAAATAACAAAACTGGAAGCTAACCATGCTGTATAAAATTGCTGAACTGTGTCCAGTATATCTGGCTGTCAATTTTGTCATAGGTTGCTGGAACAAGCATCATAGTTACTAGGGGAGAGAGCACCTTTGTAGTAGCCACAGTCATTGGCCAGGGTATAAACACCTATTTATTGTAGCAAAATTAAAGAAGGGACAGACTATCACCGCAAAATGTAAATCCTGAACTGAACCAGATAAAAGGGGAGAAAAGTGTCAGATGAATGAGCATACTGGAAAGGGTGCGGAATGATTCATTTTGATGCTAAAAACGTGTAAAATTTTATTATTCTAGAATGACCAGCTCATATTGTGATAGTCATAATGACCCTAGTGTAGTAGATATGTTTTTTAGTTATGAAAATAAGCTTGTTATCTTCATTGTAGAAAAATGAAGAAGATATTCATAAACCTTTATATTAGAATAAAAGGTGAAAAGGACTCCCAATGGAAATAAGTCACTCTGTTCTGATTTTTTGAGGTTATGCTAAAAGGTTTCTGAAATAATGCTCGAAGTTGATAACTCTATTTTGTATTTGTGTATACCTGAATAAATTGTACTTAACTTACTTATTTCACTTAGCAAATACTTATTTACGAGATAGACTTACGACAGACTGTCTACAGTATACTAGTCTAATAATGTATATTAAGCTGATTGCCTTAATATGTTTAATATAAGTACAATATGTATAACATTTTATAATATAATAAGTTAAAATAGTGAAAATGAATTAAAACAATTTTCAAAGTTTTGGGTAGACCTAACCCATACTACTGTAGTATGCTCCACACTTTGTGATTAATTTCTTTATTGAGTAGGTATTAAGGAACAGAAACTATCATCGTTAAGTGAGGAAGAAGCTGTATGAAAACAAAAATTTTTGGTATTTCCATTTGCATGTAAGAACTAACACATATTTGTGATACGAGAGAAGTGTTTATATTATTGTGCATAGAAATGACGATTAGGATCGAGTTAGAGAGATTGACAGTACATATGAATGAGAGATGAACTTGAGAGGATAGATGTGAGAAAGAGAGTACGAGAGAGGAAGATAGAGAGTGTGATAGAGAGAAAGGTGATTAAAAATATTAAGAGGGAGAACAACATTATGAAGGAGGAGAGAGGAGAAAGAGAGGACGAGGTAGAGAGAGAGAGAAAGATGAAGTGAGGAAGAGGAGACGGATTTGAAGAGAAGTACATGGGGAAGGAACGGAGAAGAGAGAGAGGAGAGAGAGAGAGGAGAGAGAGAGGAGAGAGAGAGGAGAGAGAGAGAGGAGATGAGAGAGGAGAGAGAGGGAGAGAAGAGGGGAGAGAGAGAGGAGAGAGAGGTGAGAGAGAGAGGGGGAGAGAGAGGAGAGAGAGAGGGAGAGAAGGAGAGAGAGAGGAAAGAGAGAGGAGAGAGAGAGGTGGGAGTGAGAGAGTGAGAGAGAGAGTAGAGAAGGGAGAGAGAGAGGAGAGGAGAAGAGGAGGAGTAGAGTGAGAGAGAGTGGGAGAGAGGAGAGGAGGAGAGAGGGAGAGAGAGAGAGGTAGAGAGAGGGGAGAGAGAGAGGAGAGAGGAGAGAGAGGGGGAGAGAGAGGAGAGAGGAGGGAGTGAGAGAGGAGAGAGAGAGGAGAGAGAGAGGAGAGAGGAGAGAGGGGGAGAGAAGAGGGAGAGAGGAGAGGAGGAGAGAGAGAGGAGAGAGAGAGAGGAGAGAGAGAGGAGAGAGAGAGAGGAGAGAGGAGAGGGGAGAGGAGGGGAGAGGAGAGAGGAGGAGAGAGAGAGAGAGGAGAGAGAGAGGAGAGAGAGGAGAGGAGAGGGAGAGAGGAGAGAGAGAGAGAGAGTGAGAGAGAGATGAGAGAGAGAGAGGGGAGAGAGGAGGAAGGAGAGAGAGAGGAGAGAGGGGAAAGAGAGAGAGAGAGAGGAGAGAGGAGGAGAGAGAGAGAAGAGGAGGGGAAAGGAGAGGAGAGAGGGGAGAGAGAGGAGAGAGGGGGGAGAGAGAGGAGAGGAGAGAGAGAGGGAGAGAGAGGGAGAGAGAAAAGAGGGGGAGGAGAGAGAGGGGAGGAGAGAGAGAGAGAAGGAGAGAGAGGATGAGAGAGAGAGGAGAGAGAGAAGAGAAGAGGGAGAGAGAGAGAGAGAGGAGAGGAGAGAGAGAGAGGAGAGAGAGTGAGAGGAGGAGAGAGAAGA